CCATTATAAATGAAATACTGTACTTACCAACATGTTTCTCGGATATATATGTTGTTCTTACTTTATCTTCGCCGAAGATCGATGTTTATTTATATATAACAATCGAATAATCGACATAATTCAAACTCATCACTACGACACAAAAATATATCACTTTCGAAACCATGTAAACTGCTAAGATGACGTCATTTATATCCGGGATTGCTTTGCAAACTCCACACAACAGACTGTCCCATCTTTTCTCCTGCTTTCTCCCGATGCAATTCATACATTACTCGGAGATTACTGTCAAACGTTCCAAGTTTTACAATTTTAGCATGTTTATTACGATCTAATTCCTGCCAGTATCAATGAATAAATCTATTGACCAACAGATTGGAAATATGTATTCCAGCGATACCCTCATTTTGACGAACAAAATCATAACAGGTTCCTTTATATCTTCCTTTATCTTCTGTTTAAGAAAAGCTGTTAGCTATCAGCTGTATTTTTGTCAATCAAGATTTCTCTTCATCTGTAAATTACCCAGCGAGAAACCAAAATGGCAATTTTGATGGAAAGACACAAAGTACCAGTCAAAATCTCTGAAGATTTCCGGGCAAACAATGGCAGCTCTCCCAGTTAGGTTTTAGACTGTCTTCTCATATTTTGTCAATTTTATTCAATTTCAAGTATTGTTTAGAGTAGTGCGTTCAACATATTCGAGAAGTCAATAGCTATAATAAATCTGCAGATTTTGCTCGCATTTATGTAAGCTTTTCTCTTTTGACGGATACTTTGTGTCTTTCCTTGAAATCATGACAGGTGTAACTGATCTACTGAAATCAACTTCAAGTGCTTACTACTATCTCCCAATGTGAGCTACATCAGTGCTTTTTGTTGAGAAAATATGTAAGTTATTAGCCGCTTTTTTGCCGATCAGGATTTAAATTCTCTTTATCTGTCATGTACCTAGCAAGATTCAGAGATTTTGACTTGTACGTCATGTCTTTCCGTCAAAACTTCCATTTTTGGTTTCTTGGTAAAGAGTAGCTTCTCAATGTATAATGAGAATTTGCTGTTCGGCACAGAAGCACCTTTTAATTTTTTTCGATTTTCGCAAGGAGGACACTAACACAATTTTGAAGCGGTTGATAGGGGGCTCTAAAGGCTGTTCTAACATATCAGTCACAGCCTCTGAAAGAGCTAGATCTAAGGCTCTAGCTTTAGGCTAGTCTAAGTCCTATAGTCTAGATCTAGTAGTCTAGGCCTAGAGTCATAGCCCAGGCATAGGCCCGTAAAAATGTAAAGAAATAAAGCTTACAGCATGTTCTATTTAAGTGAATTTGACTCATGTTATACATGTTCCGGGCCTATGCCTAGTATAGTCCCGCAGGACGAAGAAGATAGAATGTAAAAATCAAATTGAAAATCAAAATAATCGAACGAAAAAAAATTGAAAAAGTTGAAAATTCGATTTCGATTCAATTTGATTTTCTGCCATTATAAATGAAATACTGTACTTACCAACATGTTTCTCGGATATATATGTTGTTCTTACTTTATCTTCGCCGAAGATCGATGTTTATTTATATATAACAATCGAATAATCGACATAATTCAAACTCATCACTACGACACAAAAATATATCACTTTCGAAACCATGTAAACTGCTAAGATGACGTCATTTATATCCGGGATTGCTTTGCAAACTCCACACAACAGACTGTCCCATCTTTTCTCCTGCTTTCTCCCGATGCAATTCATACATTACTCGGAGATTACTGTCAAACGTTCCAAGTTTTACAATTTTAGCATGTTTATTACGATCTAATTCCTGCCAGTATCAATGAATAAATCTATTGACCAACAGATTGGAAATATGTATTCCAGCGATACCCTCATTTTGACGAAAGAATGGTACAAATATGTCCACTATTTATCGAGATATCGTGTAGAAAAATTGAAGAAAGACATCGCTTAAGAAATTTCTATTTCTAGACTGAACTGTTCACGCTCGCAAGTGGCATCTCCAACTCCATATATGGGCAAAAAGGTGGAGTTAACAATAAGCAATGCAGGGATTGACACGAAGAAGTCTCGATGAATCTCGCTTAAACTCCGCCCCTTCTTCGTGAAAAATCACGTGAATTCCGGCTTTTGCTGGGACATATCCGGGCATCTCGGCTTCGAACCCAATCAGAAGTTTCAATTTTGACTGGCGCCGCATACATTATCTCAAGTCTCACCCAATATTTTTATGTATACGTTAAATAGACTTGATACAAAAATGGAGTCTACAAAGAAACCATATTCTCCATTAAGTGTCCATATTGCTTATTTTGACTCTGGATACTTATCAATGTATCACTTACAGGGAAATACAGGTGAGCTAATTTATAGTCTATATGCTGGTATTGATATCTGGTAAGGTGCAAATACATAATTAGCTAGCCATACACAGATAATAGATCATCCTGTTTATCTGGGAAAAAATGGAAGAAGACCTTGAGCTCCAGCCACCCCAGGCCATAGTACTACAGCAGTACATGTAGACAAAGGTCGGTTTGATGAAATAATCACAGATCATGGTATTTATTTTCCAGCAGGGGGAAAGGGGCAACATCTGAAAAACATTATAATGTAAATCCAAGTAAATCGCCAACCTGTTGTTTCTTCATCATTTAATTAAGATTTTAACCTTTTTTCATAGGCTGTACAATCATACAACTTGATTAAATCAGAAATGAATCTTGCAAAAGATGGTCTGCTATGAGTAGTAACATAGTCAGGAACTATAAATAGCCCTGGGGCAGACTGATATGGTCAATGTTAGTAATGTTATACGATATTGGCATTGTCGCTTTCTACTGGGTCTAAAAAGAGAACTGAATCCTTCTGAATGAAAATGTGATTGTGGTGGGACTCCTGAAAAAATCCTACTTTGACTAACTGGAATATTCAGAGGATATTTTAGAGGATTTGGCGAATAATTATTGAGTCCACGTATCACCTATTACACTACTAGTATATGAGTCTGGAGAAACTAGTATAGAACAAAAATGAGAGCCAAACCTTAGCACACATAATCTCCTCATGGTTGGCACAGATCATCTTGCTTCATCAAGCTTCGGACCTGTCCTCATAGAACGTAGTGATTGAACGTGGGAACCGACGATAGGCACAGATACCAACCAAGAGATGATTATTTAATCCCCTCCCCTCACTCTTAACACTTAATTCAATATGGTACAGTTGATTATGATTAGACCCAAAAATATGTTTCACTCTAAAATACCTCTCTAAATAGCATATTGCAGTATAAACTGTCCTCAAATGTGTTTTTACGATTGTCAAAATGTTGACTTAAACCCAAAAAGACTTCTCTCTTAAATACCAAATTACAGTATAAACTGTCCTCAAAATTTGTTTTGCTGATTGTAATAAGGTAGATTGAGACTCATCATTGTCAAAATGTTGACTTTTGTCCAACAAGTTTTGGTATAGATACCCTTTGCATTGGTTCGATTTCACTTCTTAAAAGAGAGCTTTGTCTTCACTCTTTCAGTTTAAAATAAATCTCACTGAGCCAATCAGAGTTCATCGGCTAAAAACTTAATATATCTGACATCACCGTATAGTTAATGATCACGCATTTAGCATTTGTTCCTGCCAGTTTAGTGATTGCTTATAAGTTTGAAATTATTTGTGACCCAGTCTGTCATGGGCACCAGTGGGGATTGGGCTGCTAAACTGTCTAGATACAAGGCAGAGTAGTTTATTAACTAGACTTTGCCCAGGGTATAGTTTGTAATTTAAGTCAAGAGTCTAAACAGGGACATGCTGAGTATGTGATGTCATCTCCAGCTTCTTTCAATAATGGATTGATACAGCATTTGAAATATAGGGTCTGTGTTGTTCTGTGATACATTTACCATTTTGAATAAGAACAGTATCTCTAAAACTGTAATGTGAGATTTTGGTAGATCATCATTTTATGACTTTTATCTTATTGAGTGGTCATACATATATTAAAGTGCTCTAAACTGTCTCTGAGAGTTAAGGTACATGAGGATTACGCCCTTCTACACATCTAACATATTTTTGTTGATGTTTGGAAATGATGTGATTCAAGTTGTGTCTTTTCATTTTATACGCGTATATATGCGGATGTGTAGGCTGTATACCAATTTAGATAAATCATAGCTCTTTAACATCCATATGTACTATATAGGATAAGATGTGCATTAAAAGATTATTGTAAGGGTTGTCAATTTTATATGTTTTGAAGAGCTCTAAAGTTGACCTTATGTATAGAGGTACTGTATGGCTTTATCTCATTGAAGAACAGAGGTGTATCTGTTGTTGTATTTCTCTATTCTACTATTTAACAAGTCACCTCAAACTTAAAGGATTCATACAAATGCTAAATAACATAAACTGATAGAAATGTTAACTCAGTTTTTGTGCAATACATGATTTGATCATTATAGTTATGTTAAAAAGTAAGGTAATTATGAAGTGTTTGGCACCTGTCTTGTGACCTGACTTTAACTAACATATTTTGTGACCTTTAACTTCAAATGTTTGTGCCAAATGTTAAATTGGTTGAAACAATTTCAATAGCATTGACTTATCTTTAAACTACACCTTTTGAAGCACATAGTAGCATCCTTTCTATGTATGAACTATGATAAACATTGGTTCTTCTACAAAAATACTTTAAGAACTCAGATCATGTCCAATTTAAAGTAAGATAGCTAGTCTCAAGTATGTTCCACAGGCCCTCCCCTACATACTCACCACTTTGATTTTCAACCACACTGGTATCAGTAGACCTTTTTTCTAAATATTACACCCACCCTATGTGAATTAATGAAAGGTATAAATCAAAGGAATGAAACTGATTGATTTCTTGATATTTAATGGTTACAATCAAGATCATTTTAAAATGATAATACAGTATATATAGAAATGATTTCTTTGTTTTGATAGATTAATATTTGTATCTTCTTTGCAGGTATCTTTAAATGGCCTGGAGGTGCTGGGACTATTGGTGAACAGGTGTGGGGAGAACTTCAAGATGCATGTCAGCAATAGTAAGTTCATCAATACATGCACATTATACATCTTCAACTTCCATGGTGGTAAATGTGGTATATGGAAAGAACAACTCAAACCTTGTCAATCAAAATAGAATTATACTTAGGAAATCCTGCAACTTTTATGTAACAGAAAGAATATTGTAGAATGATAACTAGTGTCTAACAAGTACGCATATGTATGAAATTTTAGATTCAGATTTCAGTAAAACCAGTGGAACACCTTTGTTACCTCTAAAAAGTGTTCTTAGTAGAACTTCAACTCAGAGAGGCTCATTGAGCCAACTGTTTATGGACTCTGAAAAGGGTTCAACTTAAAGTGTTCTACTTTAGTATACAGGTTTAACTGCACATGTAATAGAATGTCAATGAACTTGTGTATATATTTATAAACAGAAGCACATGCTACAATCTACGCCCACAATATTAGATCATGTGAATATATTATACGCATACGCCCAATACCTTCAAATTAACAGCCTCTTCAAGTTATGCATTAAACTGTCTCAGCAATCCTAGATCCTGTCTTACATCAATGGCTTCTTGGAAGGACCCCTCTTTATCTCTCTTAAGATTTAATTTACCTTAGAAAACGAGAAGAGACCCCATAAATGTAATATACTTCCTTGCCTATTGATGAAGATTAATAAACCAAATATACGTACTGTCGTATACGAGGATTATAGAATTCATCTCGATGTCTTAAAAATAAAATTTCAATTCATAAATTGCTTTAAGATCTGAAAATTAAATATTCAACCTACTACAAATTTTCTTGATTTCATTCAAAGAACCCTGTTTGGAGATGTGAGGTTACCATGGTTTAAAAAGTTCAACTATTGGCAAGATGATCAGACTGTGATATATTGAAGATTCTCAAGCCAATGCTAATCTAGAGATTGTGCAGTTGGAATATTTTTGGCTGCAGTGTCAAAGTGACTCTCTCATTATCATAGCACATAGGGTTTTGCACTTAATTTCAAATTCTGACATTTTCACCGCTAGCCAAATATATACATAAAATATACAACCTAACTGTATTGTATTTATTCAATTTAATATTCAATGAGCTTATAATAAGCTACATTTGTTCAATTCTAGATATAGGTTACTTTTCTTAAAGTGCAAAGCAGTCTCTTGAAGCTAATGCTAGACTCTCTCTAAGCTATTGAGAAGTTCTCATAATCATATCAGATTTCTTAGATTAGTCCAACTAAAGAAATTGTAAGATATTAAAAACTATATGAAAACATTTTCCACAACCTGCTTCAGCTTAAGAAAATAGAGAATGTTATCAATATACTGCGATTAATATCCTTTATAAATCTCATGCATATTTGGCCTATTAACTCTGAGATTTTTCTTGTTATGATATTAAGTGTGTGGTTTTGATTTTACTGTCAAAAGGTCAGGTTTAATAAAGAGGAAATTTTGGATGTAGCCTCTAATAACTTGTTTTGGTTTTGGTTTAGTGAATATCTTAAAATCATTTAAATATACCTCTAGGTAAGGTGTTATATACAATGTATTTACCTAACCCCCACAGAACTATACATTATTTATTAATTTGATTTGATGTATATATTACAGAGCTAGTTTTGCCCCAAGACTGTGTATCCCTTTATTTTGGAAGGTGAAGGATACAGGAGGGGGACATAGTCTTGATGCAAGATATTGCAGAACAATATCAGATAGAATTCATTGTTGTGTGTAGACGCGGTGACATAATACCATCGTACCAAGTCCTTATCTGGGCGGGCCCTATCTTCGATTGCTCAAAAGCAACACCAAAAGATGTCTAAAAATAGCTAAATAAAATTATCTATTTTTAATCAATATTATGACTTTTGAACAAGATAAAGAAACAGGGAACTTGAACAAGAAACATGGAACTTGTAAACCATCATTCTGATACTGATCACATATTTTTAGAAAAATTGAGATGCCATGGTTCATCATGAAAGTAAATTATGATATAAAGATAATTACTACCCTGCGTGCAAAGTCTAGTTATAAACTACCCTCTGCCTAGTACTGAATATCGGCTATATTGCAGTTTAGCAGGATAAATACATGAAACCTATTTTAACAAAATGTATCGATGCCCTGTTTTTTATCTAATGAGCTTGAGCAGATCGTGATTTGACTGGGGCATGGATATAAATGTGACATTAATTTAGAAATAGTAAAATTTAGGATATTTTGGTCATATCGCCTTGAGTGATGAACAGGTGTATAACTTGTATGTGCATTAATTAACTTGACATACATGTTAGGTTTTATTACATGATTTTACTGCCAAATTTTCTTTTACCATGAAAAGGGAAATTGTTGGTAGGATAATTATTACCCTTTGTAAAAGTGGTTGTCTCACTATTTAAGCCCAATAAACTTGCCTCATCGGGCAAAGTCCCACAGAGTCTCTGGAGCGAAATCTCATGAAGGCCCACAAGGTCATTTGCAAAGGTCACACGCAATGTTAAGTGTATGGAGGTCCCGCCATGCCCCATTGACATAATGTTTGGCTACTGATAAATCTTTCCTTTGCTGAACTAATCAGAGCTTGTTAATCATTAGACTGTTTTCTGAAACATAATATTTTCTATGATTGAACCTCTGGATGAAGGTTAGGTTCTTAGCCTCAGGGAAATGCATTGCCAGTGTCAGTTTCAATTTTTTGAATCAATTTGATTGAAAACAGTAGTCATATATGTCGTGGGCTGGTGTGGGATCTGTGGTGTTTGCATTGGGATTACCATGTTAACCTTGTTTCACAACAAGTCAAATATAAAAGCATGTTTGCTCTGAACTTGATACATACAGTTACATGGCATTATTGTTTTAATACTTCATTCAGATAATCATATTGGGACACTTCATTATGTCTTCATAGTGAAAACACATGTTGAAAATGTTTTGTAAATGTTATCCTTTAATTCCTTAAATTTTGAATATAATTCTTGTACAACTGAAATACAATCTCCATTGGTAATTACACTTTTACATGCAAAAATTGAAAATTGCACATTAACAAGCAAAAGATGTGAAGCTCTCAAATGATAGAATGTCAAAATGTTCTCTGTCTTTATCACAAGAGAAATTGTAGAAAACAACATGCTTGACATACAATATTCCTTCAGCATCAACCCTGTGTTCACCTCATTGAATAGATTGAATCTACAGCTTACAATAAGAATATCAAGATGGTGAGATGAGAAAGTAATGTTAACATTTTGTCCATCTTTATTTTGAAGGATTTAGTTGTTCTTTCCGAGGCTCATAATCATGGAAGTTGAAGATGCAAATAAATGAAATTCCCACTACATCTTTACTGTTTTTTTACAGGTGATTTCAGTAGTATAGAGGGATATAATAATACTAAACTAGAGCAATGAGGTTATTGACACTTCTAAATAAATAGAAAGATTGGCTAATACATGAGGCATTATGTTATGGCTATACGTTTGACTGTAAAGGAGGGTACAGTGTCAGTATAGCCAGTAAGTGGCTATTGATTTTGGCATAAACAGGTGATAAAGCTACATTGCTATTCTAGGTTAGTCTGACTGATTGAGACTTCCATGTAAGAATGCAAGACCACCTTGTCCTGTCACTGTCTAAATAGGCATATCATCATGTTTCTATTATCAATCAATTTCTCAGATGCGAGTAGGTAGTTACCAGTTTCGCCACCAGGTGGCTGATTCGGGGGAATTAACATGGCAGGGTATTACAAAATTCCCTTAAACTTGAATATGCATCAGTTTTAATGGTTCACTTTTCATATTACCTTTATGTATCTGATAGTTATACAAATTAAAATATGTCCAGTAAAAGAAAACATTATCTGCCCAACACAAGAAAATATTGTGGGAAATTTGAATTTCCCACCTTTCAAAATTTAATCTACGCTAGAGGGCGCTAGTTCTTAAATTTCAAATACACGAGAATTGACATTTCAAAATTTAAAAAAAAGGCTCCTTTCCTGCGATCTCCTGGTAGGTTTCCATTTATTTTTATATTCCCTTCATTCATATAAGTATCAAGAGTAATATTATGTGATAATCTAAGAGAAACTTGCCTGAATTTAGATGTAATGATCGTGCAGAGTAGAATTTTTTTCGTTCGAGTTGTGTTTACTTTCTTTTTCGAATATCTAGGTCAAATTACTTTGTGGTTATAACTTCATGACCCCCCTAGTAGGGTATTTTTCTGATATACATTTATGTTTTATATTATCTGGGAACAATTAGGGATAACGTTCCTTACTTCTGTAATAGTTTAAATTCATATTTCCGGGGATTGGGTAACTTACTCTTTCTTCTAACAGTGCCATCCTTATTATGCTTACGTGCTATGCCTGGTCTTCGGTAGTTTAACCCCAAAAACCTAAACTAATAAAAAGAGTAAACTAAGAGTAAGTGCAAATCTCAAAGAGTAACTTAGGAGTAACCATAAACTCAAGGAGTAAGCTGGGAGTAAGAGTAAGAGTAACCTTACTCTTTGCTTGTGCGGGAACCCTTGTCCTAGAATTGGTCAACCCATAGGAGAAATATGCCACATGGTTATGAGTCATCGGCAATTAAAGGATCTGTGATTGACATTGTCATAGTGATTTCCCACAATGCATCACCAAATGGAGTAAACACACCAGCTTAGTCCAGCTGTAGCCAATCAGATAGCTTCCTTATGCATCTCATTAGTGGGTTAAGATAGGAGATAATCTGATCACCTGATGTTAGTCTTGCTTTAAATGTTAAAGTGTGAGGATGTGTAGCATCATTTTTAAAGCTAAATCGGGAATATAATGGAAAATTTGATTCTATTATTGGATGTTTATTGTGTTTGTGGATGCTGATAAATCTGAGGAAGTCTGGAGATTAACCAAGTGTGGATTAGCGTTAGTTGGAGTATATTTATCGTTTCGTGACGGAAAATACCATGACACGTGGATATAGGACCATTTGGCATGGTGTGATGTGGGCGAACAAGGAGAACTGTGAGTGAATTAGCAGTTAGAGACGCCTAAAGAACATGTTCCAGATTTTGTAAGTGCTGATATATTCCTATAATTCCTTTTTGTGATACAATCAAAAGGTTAATTTGATGTTTTTTTTCCGATTTGACATTGAGATTTTGGTGATTGCATCATACACTCCCCACAATCCTTTGCAATTCCGCCATCTTGGATGACTTCCGGTCCATGTGTGGTTCAAGTCTAATCTCAGAATTTGATTGACATTCTTGAACTACTCGTTCCTTAAAGCAAGCATTTTCTTATTTTTGAGCGGTAGTTTTATCCTCATTGAAGTGTGTGGATCAAATCTAATCTCAGGATTTGATTGACATTCTTGATTCCATCCGGAGCAAGTATTTTGTTGAGCAGTAGAGTTATTTCCTTTTGGACTGGTAATTGGGGTCTAATCTCATAATTTGATTGATATTCCCGAATTACTAGTCTTGTTTTGAACAACCCAGGCTGAAGAAGAGTAACCCTGAGTAGAGCAGAGCGGCGAAGAGTAAAGCAGAGTAACCCAGGCTGAAGAAGAGTAACCCTGAGTAGAGCAGAGCGGCGAAGAGTAAAGCAGAGTAACCCAGGCTGAAGAAGAGTAACCCTGAGTAGAGCAGAACGGCGAAGAGTAAAGCAGAGTAACCCAGGTTGAAGAAGAGTAACCCTGAGTAAAGCAGAACAGAATAAAGAGTAAGCAGAGCAGTGCAGAGTAAAGAGTAAGCAGAACAGAATAGAGAGAAAGCAGAGCAGTGCAGAGTAAAGAGTAACCCTGAGTAGAGCAGAGCGGCGAAGAGTAAAGACGAGTAACCCAGGCTGAAGAAGAGTAACCCTGAGTAGAGCAGAGCGGCGAAGAGTAAAGACGAGTAACCCAGGCTGAAGAAGAGTAAACCTGAGTAGAGCAGAGCGGCGAAGAGTAAAGCAGAGTAACCCAGGCTGAAGAAGAGTAACCCTGAGTAGAGCAGAGCGGCGAAGAGTAAAGCAGAGTAACCCAGGCTGAAGAAGAGTAACCCTGAGTAGAGCAGAGCGGCGAAGAGTAAAGCAGAGTAACCCAGGCTGAAGAAGAGTAACCCTGAGTAGAGCAGAACGGCGAAGAGTAAAGCAGAGTAACCCAGGCTGAAGAAGAGTAACCCTGAGTAGAGCAGAGCGGCGAAGAGTAAAGACGAGTAACCCAGGCTGAAGAAGAGTAACCCTGAGTAGAGCAGAGCGGCGAAGAGTAAAGAAGAGTAACCCAGGCTGAAGAAGAGTAACCCTGAGTAGAGCAGAGCGGCGAAGAGTAAAGACGAGTAACCCAGGTTGAAGAAGAGTAACCCTGAGTAAAGCAGAACAGAACAGATTAAAGCAGAACAGAGCAGATAGGAGTAGAGAGTAACCAGAGCAGAGAAGATAGGAGTAAAGAGTAAGCAGAGTAGAATAAAGAGTAAGCAGAGCAGAACAGGGGAAAGAGTAAGCAGAGCAGTGCAGAGTAAAGAGTAAGCAGAGCAGAACAGATTTAAAGCAGAACAGAGCGGAATAAAGAGTAACCAGAGCAGAAAAGAGTAAAGCAGAGTGAATAGCAGAGACGAGGGTAGAGTAAAGAGTAAAGCAGAGCAGTGCAGAGTAAAGAGTAAGCAGAGCAGAAAAGAGTAAAGCAGAGTGAATAGCAGAGACGAGGGTAGAGTAAAGAGTAAAGCAGAGCAGTGCAGAGTAAAGAGTAAGCAGAGCAGAACAGATTAAAGCAGAACAGAGCAGATAGGAGTAGAGAGTAACCAGAGCAGAGAAGATAGGAGTAAAGAGTAAGCAGAGTAGAATAAAGAGTAAGCAGAGCAGAACAGGGGAAAGAGTAAGCAGAGCAGTGCAGAGTAAAGAGTAAGCAGAGCAGAACAGATTTAAAGCAGAACAGAGCGGAATAAAGAGTAACCAGAGCAGAAAAGAGTAAAGCAGAGTGAATAGCAGAGACGAGGGTAGAGTAAAGAGTAAAGCAGAGGAGTGCAGAGTAAAGAGTAAGCGGAGCAGAAAAGAGTAAAGCAGAGTGAATAGCAGAGACGAGGGTAGAGTAAAGAGTAAAGCAGAGCAGAACAGATTAAAGCAGAACAGAGCAGATAGGAGTAGAGAGTAACCAGAGCAGAGAAGATAGGAGTAAAGAGTAAGCAGAGTAGAATAAAGAGTAAGCAGAGCAGAACAGGGGAAAGAGTAAGCAGAGCAGTGCAGAGTAAAGAGTAAGCAGAACAGAATAAAGAGTAAGCAGAGCAGTGCAGAGTAAAGAGTAAGCAGAACAGAACAGAAAGGAGTAAAGAGTAACCTGAGCAGAACAGAGTAAATCAGAGCAGAGAGGAGTAAAGAGTAACCAGAACAGAATAGAGAGAAAGCAGAGCAGAGCGGAATAAAGAATAACCAGAGCAGACCAGAGTAAAGTAGAGCAGAGCGGAATAAAGAGTAACCAGAGCAGAATAGAGTAAAGTAGAGCAGAGCGGAATAAAGAGTAACCAGAGCAGAACAGAGTGAAACTAAAGCAGAGTAAATGACGTCAGAGAACAGAAGAGTAAAGCAGAGTAACCCCTGAGCAGAGTGAAGAAGAGTAAAAGTAGAGCAGAGTGCAAACAAGAGAAGAGCAACAAGACAACTCAGAGATATTTATTACATGGACATTTGTGTTTTATTTGTTTTCAAAATTAAAGTGTTAATAAATTATAAAAAACCTATATATTTGAATTTTGTATATAAATGTGTAACCACCTCCCCTTTCAGTGAAAGCAGTACCACCAAACCAGGTCTGCGCCCACATAAAACCAGTGAGAATCCCATATTAAATAAATTGTTCGTGACCCGACCACAACCACACTACCAGATTTTGGCCAGGTCCGACATTGGTGGCAGCGGTGGGATTATTTGCTGACGGGGAACGAAGACTTAAGAGAAGAAAATGGCTTCTAGACAAGAAGAAGGCCCTGATGGTATAGTCTCCAGGATGGAAGGAGGACAACAGGAAGATGAGTCTGCGGACAACACTGTGTTCTTCAAGGGGGACTACACCCAAGTGAACATGGAGCTAGATGATACAGTGCCAGGGATGTGTGGAGTAGATTCTACAAGAGAAGTGGAAGAAAATCCCGAAGGAGCAAGGTCCAAGACGGGTTATATGGTACCAGGAGTAGGGTATGGGATGACGCCATCGAGAGGCTTTCCTTTAACTTCGACTGTGCTGGAGGGAAGATCTCCTGGGGTCACCATGCCCATGGATCAGGAGTTACAGAGTCAGCAACTCCAGATCTCTGTGTTCAGCAGCCAGATGAAGGCACAAGCGCTGCAGAACAAAACTATGTATGAAGACCTGAGAAGAGAAGTGTACTCGGGGCAGGAAGACCTTCGAAGAGAAGTACATTTGAGTAAAGGGGAGATACAAAAACAGATAGAGAAGCTGAATACAACTCATCAAGAGGCTCAACAAGAATTCAAGGGTTTCCTGTCTGAGATAGTACAGCGCCTCCCTGCTGCTCAAGATGACAGTCGCGTGACTCCCGAAAACTTGGAGAAGGAGCAAATGATGAGTAGCAGAAATATGGGGACTGCAAACTTGGAGCCAGAGCAAAAGAGTAGAGTCAGTTCACAGGCCTATGGAGAAGTGTGCTCTGGGATCTATACAAAGAAACCATCACTACAGAGACAAGATGGATACAGTGGGAAAGAGTTAGCATCACATCTTGGACGGGCATGGGCACCAGATGCAAAGATGGGGGGTAATAGATGGCCATTATCCGGGAAAGATGGTCAAAGTGCCCCAGAACTACAGGAAAGGCTATTACAGCCTACTCCCCTACTCCGGGAAGAAAGACACAGGAGTTCAGAACCAACTCCCCAAGGGCAGCTATCCAAGAGTACAGACTTTTATGGAGCAAGCGAGCTTGGCAACAGTAACTTGCAAAGGAGTAAAGGCCCTTCCCAACCGCACTCTGCAGAGTCCTATCTTGGACGCCTTGATGGAAAGAAAAAAGACGGTCTGACAGGTTATGCACCTGGCCTTGATGAGGGTGAATCTGAAGGAAGACGACCTACAGGAGTGCAGGAAAATTCCCAGCCAAGTAGGCTTGTACAAGAGGAGTCAAACTCGATGCTCATGGCCAAGATGGTGGACATGTGTTCAAAATTGATAGAGTCCAACAAGAGTCCTACTACCCGAACAAGAATCAAGCCCACACAGACATTTGATGGCAGTACTCCTTGGAAGGATTACAGGGCCTACTTCGCTACTTGTGTGGAGAACAATGGTTGGTCTCCACAAGAAAAGAGACAATACCTGGCAACAAACCTCAGAGGAGATGCCCAACAGTTGGTCCTGGAGCTGGATGAAGGATACTCCTATGAAGATTTACTCCTGGCATTAGAAAAGAGGTTTGGCCCGGGAGGGAAGGCGGATGTCTATGAGGCTGAACTGTGCAGTCGCACCCGGAGGCCAAAAGAATCCCTTCAGAGTTTAGGTCAGAGTATCCGACGTTTGACTTCACTGGCTTACCCAGAGATGAGTAGGAATGCTCAAGACCGGCTGGCCAGAAGAAGTTTCGAACAAGCAATACCAGACGATGACTTAAGACAGGCAATTCATAGGAAAGACCCAGATTCTCTTGATAAAGCTATCGAAGTAGCTTTAAAAGAGGAAAGTTACCAGGAATCGGAGAGGATACGGAGGGGTCTTAAACCAAAAAGAGATCATAAAGTCCTACAAGTGGAAGAGGGTAACGATGTCAGCGTTAAACTCCAGCAGATGCAGAAAAAGATGGAAGAAATAAGTAAAAGGGTAGCTGAAATCACAAACAGCGGGTCTTCATCAAAACGGTTACCCACATGTAAAAAATGTGGAGAGGAGGGACATATAGTGAGGCGGTGTCCCACGTTGACTTGCTACAATTGTAACAAACCAGGTCACTTATCATACGACTGTCCATTGCCAGAGAAACCAAGAAGAGAGAAAAACTCACCAAGAACAGACAACACAAATTCAATGAGTCCTGTGAGGTTCATGGCGGATAGGGACGAGGAGGTGACTGGGGAGAACAGTGAGGAGCT